ATATTTTTATGTTTATTTTTATTAATATTTGACGACCTCGGTGGTCTAGCGGTCAAGCACACCGCTTTACGACCGATGGTCGCGGGTTCGATTCCTCGCACGGCACAAACATTTGTATTCATGAGTATGATTGTTTGTATCGGTCTGGGTGTTTTCTATGTATAATATGTATATATTTACGAAAAAAAAATATCTATGTATATGTATCAGTTATCTAGTACCCATAACACAAGCTCTAGCTAGCTTAACTAGGGTCTAGATGGCTCTGTGTGAATTGTCCTGAGATTATTATTATTATTATTTTAGTTTTATATTTCAGGTCCGTTTTGCACACGCGGGGCACGTCGTCTACAGCACGGATGTTATGGATATGAAATTTCGGATACGGATAGATTTCGGATATAGGAATGATTATTATACCGGATACTGATGAAATTATTTCTGATTATCCGTTAGTTTCGGTTATGGATATTAATTTTTTAAGGAATTTCAAAAGTAAAATACAAATAGCTAATGAAATGGTTATATAACGTGTCTCAATTAGGCTCCGTCCCTATCCGATATGGTATGTTAGACTCCATTCTCCGCAATTAGCCTCACATTCGGGCCGTTGTGCGTGTAGAGCCATATCCGATATTATCTGAAACTTTTATTTCGGATTCGGTTACGGTTACGGATATTTTCTTATATCGGATATCCGATAGTTTCGGTTACGGTTACGGATCTCCTTAACATCCCTGGTCTACAGTCGTAATATTATTCAATTCAAGAACTGCTAGTATTTTATGAGAAAAAAAAATTGTAAAAGAAGATTGAGGTTGGACAAACAAAAAAGTTCCAATCATTTGCGTACCATAGACATATTTTTTGTCTACGAAATTTGTCTATGCCAAAATGTGTCTTGAACCGGATCATGGACTCAAGGACAGGTTGTTGACTCTAGTCGCATTACCTTTCTACGGCGGTCATTTTCCTACCCATCACCAATATTTGCTGTATAGTAAGTTTTATGTATACCTTGGGTGATGAAATTACTTCATCATCATCATTGCCTTACCCTATTTTGCCTTATTTATTTATTACTAGCTGTATCCGCGACTTCGTCCGCGTGGAATTTAACTTTATTTTTCTAAAGCAAAGTAGCTAAGTTACTCCTTATTACATCAGCTACCTGCCAATAAAAGTCCCGTCAAAATCGGTCCAGCCATTTCAGAGATTAGCCGGAACAAACAGACAGATAGACAAAAATTGAACAAAAATTATTTTGGTGTATGTACCGTATTTATATTCATATGCATGTAGTGAAAAACGGTTATTTCAATATTACAAACAGACACTCCAGTTATATTTATATGTATAAATGGATGTATTGTATATGGAATTACTTAACAAATTTCTATTATTTAGGTTTTTTTTGTTCTTTGTATTGCGGCTCACCTGATGGTAAGTGATTACCGCCGCCCATGAGCACCCGCAACACCAGAGGAATTGCAAGTACGTTGTCGGCCTTTGAAAAAGGAATAAGGTTCTTTTCTTGAAGGTTTCAATATCGTATCGGTTCGGAAATACCATTGCTGGAAGGTGATTCACAATGCGTGTGAGTGCGTGGCAAAAAGTTTCGGAAAAACGCACCATTCATCATTCATGCCGACAGCCTCGGTGGTCTAGCGGTTGAGCACACCCGATGGTCGCAGATTCGATTCCTCGCACGGTGCAAACATCTACATTCATGAGTATGATTGTTTGTACCGGTCTGGGTGTTTTCTATGTATATTATGTACTATGTATGTATTTACAAAAAATAAATCTAAGTAGGTATTTATATCAGTTGTCTAGAACCCATAACACAAGCTCTGCTTACCGTGGGACTAGATGGCGCTGTGTTAATTGTCCAGGGTTATTTATTATTATTATTTATTTTGGATAGTCGGAGCTACTTTTGATATGGGTTCTAAACAACAGATAGATTTTTTTGTTAATACATACATTATATATATTAAATAACCAGACCAATATAAACAATCATACACAAAATGTTTGTAATATGAATAGAATAGAATAGAAATCATTTAATCAAATAAACTTAATTTAAGCACTTTTGAATAGTCAACATTTTTTTTAATTCTACCGCTTATTCGGAAAGCTGTCTCATCACAAGAAGAATAAGCAAGAAACTTGTGTGTTGCTCTTTTAAACAATCCTTGTAAGTTCACATTTTACAAGTCGAAACGTGTGAATACAAACTACCAACCAGCACTAATTTATTTAGGCTCAAATATAAAAACACAATAAGATTAAATCAGTCGTAGTGATAAGAGCAGACCAGTCTCTACAAGCAGCACTCGTTCACGAGTATGACGGATGAAACATGAAATGAGATGAGCCAGCCATCACTGCGCTCGACCATATTTTAGGGAGCCCAATGACCCGGCCCACCACGCCGCCACGTGTCTGGACATTTTAGAGAGCATGACTACTCATTCCACTCGACCACGTCACAGCTACAAAAATTACTATATGGTAGTTACAGTATTCGCACTTTACATAAGGATGCATGCGGCAATCAATACAAAAGCCGCTACGCTATCATATATCAAGAAAGCAGTACGAAAAATAAATATGCGAGTAGAACCCGCGACCATCAGACAAGACAGTATATAAACCACTAAACCAACGAGGCCGTCAATAGACCCCATTATTAACCATCAAACGGTAACTGTCACTTGACCACCTATTATGGTATGGACATCACACGTCAATCTGCATACTTATTAGAGCTTGCGTAATTGAGTAAGAGTGCATAGTTCATTGCACAACAGTGCGATGTAAGAAATTAGCACATTACTGTACCACCTCTGTTCACTATTCACAATACACACGGCAACATTATCGCGATATCCAAAGCCGTAAACGATATTAAAAAAAATAATAATAAAAAAAAGATTACGATGGTGGGAGTTCTTTCGTATTTATTTTATTTTATTTAATTAACAGAATATAAAATCGTTGTCGAAAAAATGTTCTGATTTTCGCTGTCGTAATTGCAGATATTTTATATAGATTTGTTTACGAAAGTCGTGAATATTATTAGTTTACTAGTTGTCACGGCAAACGTTGTTTTGCCTTAAAATAAAAAAAAAATAGGGATGGACTACCCCTAACATTTAGGGGGATGAAAAATAGATGTTGGCCGATTCTCAGACCTACTCAATACGCTCACAAAATTTCATGAGAATCGATCAAGCCGTTTCGGAGGAGTATGGAAACGAAAACTGTGACACGAGAATTTTATATATAAGATGTACGAAACAATAAAGGAACGCAAGAGTTGATACTGGAGAGAATCTATTGTCGGTTTCGGCGGTAAACAGGTAACCCGTTTTTTTTTTGTGGATGATAATGGAATGGTGCACCCGCCTGCGCTAACGGTTTACGCTGACGGGGCACCAGTGGAGGATGATAAGATGAGCATGAGGTCAGGTCAGTTAGCCCATCGTGACAAATTCACCAGGATTTTAACACGATGGTTTCCAGGGGGAATCGCGTGGAGGTCGACCTGACATACAGGTAACCCGTTCAAAAGGTAAGTTCGGATAAGCCCGAAGTTCTGGGAAGGCTTGCTGAAATCGAACCGGCAATCCTCGCAGTGCAAAGTGCTTTCCAAATTATCAATTTCTTGCTAGGATTTGTCCTATTGTCGTAAATAAGCATTCAAAATTATATGTCAGTTGTTTGTCATAACAACCTCTTTTAAACTGATTTAAGAATAGAATAGAAAATCTTTTTTTTTTATTTATTACAATACAAAACAGATTACAATCAATATAATACTATATTTAGGAGCGTGTAGTTCAGTACAAAACTGGATTGTAATCCAACACTATCTATGACTAAAAGATAAATTATATAGACGCATTCAATATACGCTAGATAGCTAGATAAGGTTATATAATAAAAAGTAAAATAAATTTATTCAAATAAACTTACATTGAAGCACTTTTGAATAGTCATCACATTTTTTTAATCTACCGCTCATTCGGAAAGCTGTCTCATCACAAGAACGAGCAAGAAACTTGCGTGTTGCTCTTTTAAATAATTTTATTGTTACTTTACATTTTTAAGTTGAAGTGTGTGAATACAAACTACCAACTAGCACTAATTCAATTAAATACTCAAATACAGGAAATCTAAATATATATAACTCAAAGGTGACTGACATAGCGATCTATCAACGCACAGCCCAAACCACTGGACGGATCGGGCTGAAATTTGGCATGCAGGAAGATGTTATGACGTAGGCATCCGCTAAGAAAGGATTTTGATTAATTCTACCCCCAAAGGGATAAAATAGGGGATGAAAGTGTGTATGAAACTTTGTCAATTTTAAACCGATCGGGCTGAGACTTTGCATGCATAAATCTACTATGACGTAGGCATCCCCTAAGAAAGGATTTTGTTAGTTTGATAAATTCCACCCCTAAGGGAATAAATAAACGCGAGCGAAGCCGCGTGCAAAAGCTAGTATTAAATATTATTATATATTATATAACAAGCAACTGGTTGAGCAACTAAATCTGTCGTAGTGATTAGAGCAGACCAGTCCCTACAAGCAGCACTCGTTCACGAGTATGATTTGAATTTACTGGTGGTTGCCCAAGTGCTCGAGATTCTCTATTACTACTACTATCCTTTTGTCGGACTACTAATGCTGTTGGCCGCAGCTGGCCTTTACAGCTTCACCGGACGATAGGGGGCGAGAGCAGATGGCACTCCAAACCAAAGGAAGGACTAAAGTCGTATCCGTCAGGCGGAAGTTAACCTTCAACCGATCCATAAGTCCATCCGCGGGTTTGAAGTGCCATTTGCACCGGCCCCTATCGTCCAGTGAAGCTGTAAAGACCAGCTGCGGCCAACAGCGTTAGAATAGTCCAACAAAAACATGTCATTTTAATCATATCCTTCATGCTGCAATTATTTTTGTAAAAAACAACAAAACTCACCGTTAATAACTTGAAATAATATCGCGAACATAACCGCGCCGAGGCGGTACTTCGGCCGCCATCTTGTCCCGCCGGCGGCCATCTTGTCGTGTGGATATCAACAATACACTGTAGTCCATCCGTGCGTACACTTCACATATTTTATCACACCACTTTATTTATTTGTTTTTTTTAAATATCCATCGAGTTTTTCACATTTTTTTAAGCTAATTTTTACCTGAAACAAACAAATATAACTACTCAATGAAAGTATATCTTGATGATGAAACTAGTCATCAGTGATGTACAGTGACATAGACAGTGATGTACTCTTACAACAATACATTTGTTGTAAGAGTACATCACTAGCGTGATTATTGATTGTTGTCACATCCCTAAATATAGATATCAGTGGAAGTAAGAATAAGAATGGAATGTAATTGTAATGGCTACTCAATAAAGTATAATTTCTAAATCATTACATAGTATAAAACAAAGTCGCTGTCCCTGTCTGTCCGTCCCTATGTATACTTATATCTTTATAACTACACAACCGATTTTGAAGCGGTTTCGTTTACTAGATAGAGTGATTCAAGAGGAAGGTTTATATATGTGTAGTTAGTCGCTTTCCAGATCTAGACATATTTACTTGTAATTTGCTGGAGTTTCGTAGGACGGCAGTAGATTATTTAGGTAGTATGTTAAATTGAGATTAGGTATTATTATTGTTTTTTTTTCTCTTTTGTTTCCTTGTGTAATTAGTGTTTATAATTGTGTGTATTTGTATATTATCTTCCTAAGTGGGCGTATTGGGAGACTGTGAAGCTCACTTAGTACGATGTAAATAAATAAATAAATAAATAAATATATATAATATATGTACACCCGGTCGAAGCCGAGGCGAGTAGCTGGTAAAATATGAATTTAAACCATATTATAGTAAAAGATAAGGTATAATTCAAAAAGATTGATTAAATATAATGATAAATGTAACTGAACTGACATGTACTTAGATGGTACAAAAGTCCCTAAATTTAAAAAGAAATAAAAAATAAAAAAAATGATAAATGTTAAGAATGTGGGATGCAGACGAAGTTGCGTGTGTTAGCTAATCTATGCTCTATACATATAAATAAAATTGGAGTGTCTGTTTGTAATATTGAATTAACCGTTTTTTACTACATGCATATGAATATAAATGCGGTACATGCACTTAAATATCATTTTCTACAATTTTTGTCTGTCTGTCGTTTGTTCCGGCTAATCTCTGAAATGGCTGGACCGATTTTGACGGGACTTTTATTGGCAGGAAAAAAAATAAAGTTATATTCCACGCTGCCGAAGTTGCGGGTACAGCTAGAAAATAAGAAAAAAGATCTTTTAATATAGATTAGCTCAATATAGATTCTTATTTAGTACAAACAAACGTACAAATATTCAATGGGGTTACAGTGGCCGGAATACCAATGCGTGTATGACGGAACGGGTAGGTACAGCGCCGGTTGAATACACAATAAACACTGAGCGATTTAAAGAAACAACGATACTTATATCGAGAAATATTTAATAGACACAGGTTTTTTTTGTGTTCTAGAATTGAACCCACGACTTTTTGAGTGTGAGGCGGAGTAGTGAACCACTAGCCCTGCGCAGTTTTTTTTGCCATTTTAGTATCAAGATTTCATTGTGTCACCCAGATTCGAACTCACTATCTTCTGATTGCGAGGCGAAGTTGTGAATCACTAGCCCTACGCGGTTTTTTGGGACTTCCAGTCTCAAGTTCCAGTTTCTTTTGTGGCGGCCAGATTTGAACCCACGACCTTTTGGATATGAGGCAAAGTAGTGAACCACTAGCCCTACGCAGTTTTTTTTGCTATTCTAGTATCAAGATTTCTTTGTATCGCCCAGATTTGAACTCACTACCTTCTGTGTATGAGGCGAAGTAGTGAACCACTAGCCCTACGCCGCTGATTTCTAACATTCTAGTCTCAAGTTTTCTTTCTGTGTTTCTCCCAGATTTGAACTCACTACCTTCTAGGAGTAAGGTGAAATGGTGTACCACTATACCTATGGCGGTAATTTTTTGCCCTTGTATTACGTAAAAAATAAATTATAACCACATCTAGAGGTGTATTCTATTGGAACACGCGTCTATAATTAACAGTTAGAGTTATCGAGTAACGTTACGGTGGTACGGTCCAGCGGTTACGAATGTATACTCTATAATACTATCTCTCTCTCTACTCTATAATCGTCCTAATGGAATTTAACTTTATTTTTCTAAAATAAAAGTAGCCTAAAGAACTAAAAATTATTTTGTTCATCTTAATTTATTCGTTCCATTAGGTACTGATAGGTTCAAACTAATACATTTACATCCTGCATCATCCCTTATTTTATCCCCATGGGGGTTGAATTTATGAAAATCCTATTTAAGCGAACGTCTTCATTATAGTAGCTCCAATCTTTAATTTCAGTTCAATCAGGCGAAAATCTAAGAAGATTTATACAAACTTTCATCCCCTATTTAATCCCCTTAGGGGTGGAATTTATCAAAATCCATTCTTAGGGGATGCCTACATCATACTAGATTTATGCATGCAAAGTCTCACTCCGATCGGTTTAAAATTGACAAAGTTTCATACAAACTTTTATCCTCTATTTTATTCCCTTGGGGGTAGAATTAATCAAAATCCTTTCTTAGCGGATGCCTCCGTCATAACATCTACTTGCATACCAAATTTCAGCCCGATCCGTCCAGTGGTTTGGGCTGTGCGTTGATAGATCACTATGTCAGTCACCTTTGAGTTATATATATTTAGAAGATCCATACTAGCTGTCCCGGCAAATATTGTTTTGCTTTATCAATTTAAGTACTAACATAGGTATTAAAAATAGCGGTTGGTGATAGAAGGGTGAAAATTTAGGGTTGTTAAAAAAAATGTCCAAAAATAAAATATGTCAGGTATAAAATTCTCGCGTCACAATATCAGCTAGCAAACTCCTACGAAACGGCTTGACCGATTTTTATAAAATTTATATGCATTCTCAGCAGGTCTTAGAATCGGTTGCTATCTATGTTTCAAACTTCTAAGTAACTCATAAAAAAATACATACAACCCCAAATTTTCACCCTTCTATTAATAATAATAATAATATGATTTTTTTTATTTCTCCTCACAAACATGATGGCAACAATACATGTAGTATTTTTTATAGTAAAATACTTAAATTTATTATTTGAATCGATTTGCTGTGAGGAGCTGGTGTCTGAGATAGGCATAACCTGTAATACAGATCACCAGGCCCCCAACCGAAAATTGATAAAGTTAAACAAATTATGATGCTTATACTACACTAAATAAATTATAATTATACAACGTTTAGAGATATAAAGAAAAAAAATGAAAAAAGTAGTAGGCAAATGAATAAAGTAGAGAGTACACGGTTGTGGAAAGAGAATGTTGGAATACCATTGAGAGGGGTGGGCCTATGTGTGTGTGTGTGTGTGTGAGAGTGTATATGTTTGTGTGAGTGTGTCTATTGAATCCCTAGTTTTAATAACGATTTAAATTTAAATGGCAAAACAACTTATTCCATGTCAGCTAGTTTTAAGATAGTAGATATATAATATACACTGTATATAGTAATATATAGCTGTACACGCGACTTCGTCCGCGTGGAATTTAACTTAATTTTTCTAAAATAAAAGTAGCCTAAGTTATTCCTTATAACATCATCTACCTGCCAAAAAAGTCCCATTAAAATCGGTCCAGCCATTTCAGAGATTCGCCGGAACAAACAGACAGACAGACAAAATGGTAAAAAATGTTATTTTGGTGTATGTAGCGTATTTATATTCATATGCATGTAGTAAAAAACGGTTATTTCAATATTACAAACAGACACTCCAATTTTATTTATATGTATAGATATAGACAAATCATAAAATAAGAAACTTATAGTATTGTCTTAATTAAAAGTTGGAGTATCAACAACTAAAGGGATTTATGGAAGATCGTGGAAGATGGCGGGAGCTCCACCGACAAGAGCACAGCTCTTAAATTATGAATGAATGAATGAATTTGTTCATCTGTCTATCGTATAATATTTTATTTATAGTACAAACGGATACAAAGTTTGCATTACGTATTAATATAATGATTATGGAATAGAACCTCGACCTCAGGAATTGCAGTGATACCAATGAGTCACAACAGGATGTGGCAGTCAGTTGCGAGTCGCGGCACAGTTGCGCAACAGTTGCATGCGTCACTGTCCACATTTTGTTGTTTGTATGACTTTTGTATGACTTACTATCTGTACCCGCGAAATCGACCACGTGGAATTTTGCAACATTAATTTTTTAAAATAAAAGTAGTCTAAGCGACCACGGCAAAAAAATATATTTTGGTGTAGGTACCGTATTTATTTATATATTTATTTATTTATTTACATCGTACTAACATCAGAGGAAGTATGGAATTTTGCAACATTAATTTTTTAAAATAAAAGTAGTCTAAGTTACTCCTTATTACATTTAGCTACCTGCTAATAAAAGTCCCGTCAAAATCAGTCCAGCCATTTCAGAGATTAACCGGAACAAACAGACAGACAAAAATTGTAAAAATTTTTCATATTTTTCCATTAATGCAATCTTCCGTCTTACTTCGTGTGTCATATCCCACCATCCCCAACAAAAACATAGTGTATATTATATTCATATGCATGTAGTAAAAAGCGGTTATTTCAATATTACAAACAGACGCTACAATTTTATTTATATGTATAGATGTATAGATAATGTTGACCCATATACAAATTGGGTTATCGAAAGCTTCTTAGCTCTCCCTGGATTCACCATTTTAATCTTTACTTCCTTAAAGTATATATAAATATATGGAAATCCTAAAAAAGCTACCTACTATTACCTACTACTTACATAAAAAAAAAATATTTATCTGGCTGTTCTTGCTAATCTCTGAAACGGACCGATTTTAACAGGACCTTTAGTCGCATAGCTAATGCTATAAGTAGTATCTTAGGTTACTTTATTTAAGAAATTTTGTTTTGTATGACTTCCCAAATTGCCCCATTTTTTTATTGGGTTGTTTGTGCTATTGTCAGGTGCATGGACCTGTAGCACTGCGACCTACATAGATCTATTGTGCTCGCCCTTTATCAGAGTTCGCTACCTAGACCTAGTTTATTAAAATAATATTTAGAACTAGCTGTACC